TAAAGTGTGCTTGCAATATTTACTGTTTCATTTGCATCAAATTAATGGTATTTAGGAAATTTTTGCGTTGGTACAAAAATAACACATAATTAGTAGATAACGCAACTTGAGTGACGCAATCAAAACATTGAGTCCAAACCGTCGGATGCAATTTTTAAAAGACATTAGAATTAGAATTAGAATATGCGCGGCTGGTCACTTAAAGCGCCCAGAGTCACCTAATTCATACGATCTTTTGTAACATCCGCCTTAGTTTCGGTCAGTCACACAGCCCCAGCCCTGTGTTTCTCACTAGGCTAATAAGGCTGGTGACAGCCGCTTGTTGTAAGTCTTCTGGTTCCAGGAAAGCCTGGCCCTAGATTTTATAGCGACGGAGTGCTAATAGGGGGCATTCACATAAAATGTGGATGACGCCCTCCTTATCGCCTCCACACAGTCTAGTCTGCATCCCAGCTAATAGCTTAACTAGAGTAGCCGAGGCTGCTTTGCTGTGATGCAAATTTATCTGTACAATGTGCACCCGGGTTGCAGCCATAATGATGACTACTTTCCTGGTACCTCTATGTACCCTTCTTCTGACTTTCACCACGGTCTTTCGCAAGCAGCTTGACAGTTGCTTTTTGAATCCCGCAGTGCAGTCTGAAGTTGCAGGCTTTCAGAACAGAGAGTGATCGGTCGTCTATCAGCGCAACGAAGTGGGCACTTTTCGCGTCCCTGCTCTCACTGCCCCGAGCGACAACCCACTCTCTGGCCTGCAGTCCTGCATTATGTTTCTCAAGGAAGCACAGTGCTTCTTGAGCGGTTAGATCTGGGTCTCCCACGTGTGCTACAACCCTGTGCTTCTTGGGAAGCTCCGAGGCTGCGACCACATGTACAGTAAGCCATTTTGGTTTCGGGGAAAAGGCTTTTCAGCCAATTTCCCGTTTCCTTATCAGTGCAGTACACCATTGCCACACCTCTTTCCCAGACAGTTGAAGGTGGGTGCTTTCACCCCGTCAGGTAACGCCAGAATGGCCCTCTTCAGGAGTTTCTTCACCTCCGTTACCTCTTCAGTGCCCAGTTTCTGATCCGGATATGACTCCGGCATAACTGCAAACTTGAATGAGCTCGTAGTGTTCTGAGCATATGTGCCCTGATCCTGCGTTCTCATTCTCTTTTCTTTCGGTCTGACTGAGGGGCTTGG